TCTCGCCAGGAGGGGGCCCGCGGCCGGCGCTCGTCGCGTGGGAAGCCGGGCACCGCCCTCCGGTGCCACTCCCGGCCCGGGCCTGCTCGGCTGCCAGGCCGTGCCAGCCCGCGACTCTCGCCCTCTCGGCGCCTGGGTGGTGTCCTCCGCCTGCCCCCCTCGTCGGGGACCCTGCCTGCTCCGCACTCCCCCGGAAGCCGCTGTGTCAACCTCAGCGTGCCAAACGCTTCCGTGTGTGTCCGCGCCCCTGCCCCCGGTCCCCGCACACCCCCCCCCCCCCGCTGGCCCCCCCCCCCCCCCCGTCCTCCCGGGACGGCGATTTACCGGGGCGATGGACGGGTCGTTTAGGGGCAGGGCTGCTGGCATCCGCTGCGCTCTGTTGGTAGGGGACTACCTAGCTTGGAGGGCCTGCGGCTTCGCTGGAGAGTTTTGTTTTTAATCTAGTTTCAGTCTCACGAGGTTTTTAATTGGATGGAAAGGACAAGCTGTTCTGTGTCTGTCCTGTCTTCCATTTTTAGAAGAGCATTTTCTCTCTTTCCCATGCCAAATGAAGGTATGCTGAATTGTGGATTCTTTACATAAAAATCGGGATTTGTGAGATTTCTCTATTTAAATTGAAGTCCGCAGAGAGGGAAATAATTTGCCCAAGGTCAGGTTGCAAACTGATGGTGAAGCTACAGTCAGAACTCGTGGCCCCCTGACTCCTGTATGGCTGGATACCACCAGTCTGTGCCAGCGATACCCCCACCATCCCAACTCTCTCCGTCCCTTCCCCACCCCCGCCGTCGATACCTAAACAGATTTCACTGACATACTTTCAGTTCTGATAACTTTCCTTTCCTCCCTACTCCATACCCAGAATGTTCCCCTTCTTCCAGTGCGGTCTACAGACACAGTCTTTTATTATTATTATTTTTTTTTTTTTTTCCCTGCTTTACAAATCAGTGACAGCTTTCCCCTTAGAGGGCTTCCATCCTAGAGCTTTAATCCCCTCCATTAGCATATTGGGCCCAGAGGATCCCTTGTTGTGAAATAAGCAACCGACCTAAATCCACCATATGTCCCCGATTTTTCTAGGACAGCCCCAATTTAAAATATTCCATCCCATTGTCTATCAGCCCAAGTGTCTTGATTTTTGGTTTAGAAAATAATGTCACTTTAAGTGTATCAGACCCTCTGTCCTGGCTTTTTCCAGCCATTTGGCTCTGGGGCATAACTGGGTAATCCAATTATCATTCACCTGGGATTTTTCTTCTCCTCCTGAGTCAACCCAAATGTTGGAACTGCCAGGATTTCTAGATGAGTCTGAAAATTACAGGCTAATGAAGCAAGGAAATGCCTTCTTGCTCCTATATTTCTCCCCCACTCCTGCCCTCCCCATCTTTTATTCTAGTGCAGGGCAGCAGACCTGTGGCAGGGTCTGTTGATCAGGGCTTAGGTTTAGGTCACAGGGATGTAGGGCTTTGTATCATTTCGCCTGTAAAATAGGAAGGAAGTAACTTACCATGTTGGTTATAGGGCAGGAGATTCTGTCTGGAATCTTAAGGTACCTGCACAGCTAAGTAGTTTTGGTCTCACGCAGATGAACACACTTTTATTCGGCTCCTGCTTCAT